GGGGGAGGAGGGGTGTTGCCAGCAGTTCACAGCAGTTTTCGGCTCTCTCGGCACACGGAACTAGAACTGCATTGCTGAACACACTCAACACACAGCAGGGCTAACTAGGAGGATACAACTGGAGGCTAGCAAAGAGGACAGGGGACACGGGGCTGGAGTTCCTCTGTGCACGATTTACACGGCTCCGCAGCCCTTCCGGAGCCAGGCGTCGCGGGCTTTCCCGGCTGGACAAAACTTTCCTTAATTTTTTTATTTTGTGTGGGTTTTTTAAAAAGAACCGGCGGCCAAAATGAAGACCGGAACTGCAAAATCCCAAAGTTGGCCGCTTTTTTTTTTTTTTTTTTTTTTTTTTTCCACTATTTATAAAAACATCAACAGTCACTACGGGGCACGGCCCACTATACTTTTCCTGGGATTTTGGCCCTTTTGCGGGCGATGGCGTCCTCCACTGCCTTGAGCTGTTTCAGGAGCTCCTCCCGTCGGGACAGGGTGCTGGATTTGCTGCCTTTGACGGCTGCAGGACCCGGMTCTGAGCCCTTTCCAGGGACACTCGTGACTTTGCTGGAGCTCTTGGATTGAGGGGACAGCTGGCGTTTCCTGCAGGGAGACAGAGAGAGGAGTTGGGGATGGATCCCAAAGATATTGGCTCTGAAAAAGACCCTTTGAGCCCCGTTGCTCCTACAAACCACGTGGRATCATGGAATGGTTTGGGAGGAAAAGCAGCTTAAAAATGATCTCATTCTGCACCCACCCATGGCACTGCCAACCCCAGGAGGGTCAGGRGTGATGGATGTGGCACCAGCACGGGTCTGGAATGGCTGAGGCTCCTGTCACTGCTGGAGAAGGGAACCTGAGGGCTGAGGGAGTGCAGGGCTGGGCAGCAGGGGAAGGTTTGGATGGGAAGATTCTGGTTTGGGAAGGGATGGCACCAGCCCTGCCAGCCAAGCACACTGGGATGTGTCTGTCCCCAGAGATCCAGGGACAGGTGACTGCAGAAAGGAAAAGCAGCATTTGCTAAGGGCAGGGAGGGCTGAGGGAGCTCCAGGTGTGCCCCACAACCCTCCAGCCCCCAGAGCCTGCACTGGGGGGCACAGCCTGCCAGGAACATGGCTGTGAGCTGGTCCCCTGTCACCWGGCTGGGAAGGGACAGAGCCAGRGCTGTCACTGCTCTGTCCATGCAGGGGACACATCTGAAGGGGAGCAGCTGAGGGTGTGCCAGGCTGGGAAAAAAGGGCATCAGGGCCTGGAGGAGCAGGGCAGGGGGAAGGGGCTGTGCTCTGTTGCTCACTAACACCGTGCTGGGCTCGCTCCTGACCCACTCGGCTCCTGTGGGTGCTTCTGCCCTTCTCCCACCAAGCCCTGGCACCTGCCCTGGCATCCTTCCCCCTGCTGTGCTCCCTGTGGGCCAGGAGAGCAGGGATGGAGCCCCAGRAGCAGCAGCAGCACTCACCTGTCTGCCTGTGCAGGGGAAGGTTTGGGGTTCTGCCCCCGCTGCCGTTCCTGTTTGGGGGATGAGACTCTCCCGGCCGCCTTCCTATCGCGAGAGCCTGGAGAGAGGAAAAGAACACTCCTTCATCTTCCTGCCTGGCACCAGGGCACAGCTCGCTCTCCTGCCCGCAACCATTGACCAGATTGTGCCAAAAAAYGGCCAAGTCCAGCAGCAGCTGGAGAAAACTCACTGCAGTGTCCCCCAAAGCTCGGGGGGAGCAGAGGAGCCAGTCAGGGCTGTGCCCCATCTGCACTCACCCCTTCCCCTGGCCCTTCCTCACCTTCCAGCTGCTGGAACAAGGCTCTTCCATGGCATTTCTCATCTGCAGAGCTGCTGGCTCTGCCCTGGCGGTTCACAGGGTGTATTGGCTCCAGGRGAGGCAGGTGAGGGCAGCTCGGCTGCTTTCGGAGCCAGCGGGGCCTCCCCCGAGGCAGCAGCACCCCCGTGTTTGTTCAGCAGAGCTGCACCGCCAGCCCTGCCCCAGCAGAGCCGAGCTGGGCACCCAGGGATGATGGGGAGCAGCTGGGCTA